GTTTTGAAGATTAGTACAAGTTTGAATAAGGTTTTAGGACATGTTGATACCTTTGGTTGAGGTCCCGGGGGCCTCGGGATGAATTCGGATGGTTGACGGAGGAAATTTTGGAGTGAAGTTGTTGCAGCAGCTGTTCTTCTAGTATTTTCGCATCTGCGGTTTGGGGACCATATAAGCGAAATTTGGGATTTTCCTCAGGAACCGTAGATGCTGTGAAATGTCTGCAGAAGCGAAACCGCTCCTGCGATTAGAGTTCCGCAGATGCGAAAGCTGGGTCCTTAAGTGAAAGTCGCATATGCGACACTTGTTTCGCAGAAGCGGGACCGCATCAGATGCGAAAATTGCTGGACAGAATGTTTTAAGTTCTCCCATTTTCCATTTTTACGAATTTGGAGCTCGGGGAGAGGCGATTTTCGGGAGATTTTTGATAAAAACAATGGGGTAAGTATTTTTAACTTAATTTTGGTTAGATTACTCGAATCCATTACTAGTTTTGGCATTAAATCTATGAATTTAGTTGGAAGAGTTTCAAAACCCTCTCGGATAAATTTGAGGATTTGAGGGTCGAAATGTTATGGGATTTGGATAATTTTGATATGGTTAGACTCGTGAGAGTGCGAGGTTTTTGGAAATATAAATTTTACCCTATTCCGAGATGTGGGCCCGGGGGCGTTTTGGTCATTTTACATAATTTCGCGCATTAGCTTAGAATGTAATTGTAGAATCAGTTACTTGAAGTGTTATTTACATTATGCAATTGAATTGAATAGATTTGGGTCATTTGGAGTCGAATACTCGTGGCAAGAACGTGGTGTCGGATTGATTTTTTAGCCGGTTCAGGTAAGTGGCTTGTCCAACCTTGTGTGGGGGACCTTCCCCTTAGGATTGGTATATTTAGTAATTGAAATGCCCTGTACATGAGGTGACGAGTGTGTACTTGTGCTAATTGTTGGAAATCCGAATTTTCTTTAAGTAACTACTAGTATGTTTTCCTTTCCTGTTTCAGTACTTGTACTATTAAGCCTGTTATTAGCTTAAAAAAGCATGTCTAAATGATTTAATTGCTTGATTGCTCAATCTGTTACCTGAACTCTATGCAACATGCTAGGCTAGAATTATTTGTTGCCTTAATATGAAATTTCCCTTCTTTGAATATTTTCTTGTTGTTGCTATGTATTTACATTGGGATTATGGATGTGGGATTTCGATAGCTCTCCCTTATTTGTTTACTTTGGGACTACGGGTTAGATTCCCGGGAGATCCCCCTACACATTTACTTTGGGACAACGGGTTAGATTCCCGGGAGACCCCCTTGTACATTTACTTTAGGACTACAGGTTAGATTCCCGGGAGATCCCCTGCACGCAAATGCTACTTATGAAGGGATATAAGCAAGTATATTATAATGGAGAAGTAGAAATAGTGGAAACTTGGTATCTAGAATAATTTACTAGAATTGAATAATTTAATATTTTGTTTCCTATATATTACACTGGAGGTATATATTTTTAAACCATAATATGCAGTATTTAATACTGGACGTGAAAAATCCAGATTTTTAACCTTAAATTTGATCAATTTTGGTTACTCCCTATAAATTATACTACAAATGCTACTTATGAAGGGATATAAGCCAGTATATTATAATAAAAAGTGGAAAATAGTGCAAAGTTGGTATCTAGAACAATTTACTGGAATTAAATAATTTAATATTTTGTTTCTTGTATATTACACTGGAGGTATATATTGTTAAACCATAATGTCTAGTATTTAATACTGGCGGTAAAACATTCAGAATTTTTTACCCTAAATTAGTCCAATTTTGGTTACTGCCTATAAAATATGCTGGAAATACTAATTATAAAGGGATATAAGCCAGTATATTATAATTGAGAAGTGAAAAATAGTGGAAACGCGGTATCTAGAATAATTTACTGGAATAAAATAATTTAATATTTTATTTCCTATATATTACACTGGAGGTATATATTGTTAAACCACTAGGTCCCGTATTTAATACTGGATGTGAAAAATCCAGATTTTTTACCCTAAATTTGACCAATTTTGGTTACTCCCATTAAATTATGCTGCAAATGCTACTTATGACCAATTTTGGTTACTCCCCTTAGCTATTTTTATGGCGTATGATACAAGTCACTCTAGTATATCTGCCCATAATATTTAATCATTTCGTCAATACTTATGACCATTGGGTGCAGTCTTTTATGTATTTTTAGCTAAAAATTATATTATACGTTGGGAGTTGTGTTAAACTAATAATTATATTTTGGATAATAAGTTGGATATCATAATTTTACAGGATTATACTTATTAAGTATACCGGAGTCTAATTTTCATTTGTTTTTGTAATTTTAGTTCCTGTATATTATGCTACAGCTATATCACATACAAGTATTTTCTCCAGTATTTTATACCCGAGTGTGTACAATAAATTATATTAAGCTGCAGCTATATCATATGCAAGTATATTGATTTATGCCTATTAAGTTTGATTTCATAGGTTGGTTCCTAGAAATTCTAATTATGAAGCGATATAAATCAGATTACAGCAATTAGTATTTTATCACGTAATAGCTATTATATGATGTGACATACAAATACCTCTAGTATAGTTTCCTATAATATTTCATCATTACCTATAATATTTCATCATTTCCTATGAATTCCAGTACTTTACATAACCATTGGGTGCAGTGTTTTATGCATTTTTAATCACAAATTATATTATATGTTGGGAGTTGTGTCACAATAATTAGAGCATTTATACTTATCCATTATACTGGAGTCTAATTTTGATTTTTTAGTATATTATACTAGAGTTCTATATATATAATAAGAAATATAGAAAACTCGAAAAAAATCTATCCAAAATAAATTGCTGGAATATCATACACTTTGCTTTGTATTTCGTAATAAATACGGTATTTTATGAAGTAACATGCAAGTAATTCTAATATAGTTTCCTATAATATTTCATTATTTCGTCTACATTGCATTACTTTATTCTAATATAGTCATTGATGCATTTTTAACCACTAAAATTAATTTATATTTTACATTGGGAGTTGTGTTATAGTAATAATTATATTTTCACTCTTTTCATTAAATTGTGATTCATGAATCTTTATGTTTACCCCTTACGTTTAATTTGCCTTCTGTCTTTTCATATACAGTGTAGAAATTTTTTTCTGCTATATAAGTAGGCTATCGTTTCCCGATTTATTCACACAAACGCATCTAGTTTTAATACACAAAATAGAAAAAAGAACGAAAAATGGATGTCGTGATCAAAACCATAATTGATGAAATGAAAGAAGATATTATAGAAGCATTTGAGATCAAGTTTGATGAGTTCATTGAGAAGTATGAAAGGGATTTAAGAAGACTCAAGGACAAGCTGGATAGGCTGGAGAGGATTGCACGAGATGGGGATTATGGTGGCTCTGTAGAAGATAGTTCCTTTGACTCTGACGATATGGATGATTAGTTTTTTATTTTATGCTCTTTTTTAGTGTATAAACCTTTAAACTCCAGTAGATTATACTGGAAGTATCTGGAAGTAGGCTATGTTTTGTGGAAGTATCTGGAAGATGGCTATGTAGTTTTATTTTCTATTAATATATTATCTTTTTGTTTAAATCTTTATCTGCTTTACTTTTGATAATAATTCCTCTTCAAATTCAAGAAAAAACTGAATAATGACTAAACTTTTACGGTTAGATATGTGAAAAAATCAAACAATCCGCATATAGTACTGGAAGCTATATAACCCAGTATATTATAATGGAGAGAAGTGTAAAATAGTGCAAAATTGGTATCTAAAACAATTTAGTGGAATTAAATAATTTAAAACTTTATTTCCTGTATATTTTGCTGGAGGTATATATTACAAAACCATAATGTCCCGTAGTTTATATTGGATGTGCACAATCCAGATTTTTTACCCTAAGTTTGACCAATTTATTAATTGAAATAAAGTTGTAACGATTGAAGATTATAATTTTGATGGTGTGTTTTTAAGTATAATATGTTAAGATTTAATAATTTTTGCTGATGCAACTCTTGTTTGAATTCTTATTTTGCTTGTTTCCTATAAATTATGCTGGAAAAGTTACTTATTAAGACATATAGGCCAGTATATTATAATGGAGATGTGTAAAACAGTGAAAAAATTCCTCTTGAAATTCAAGAAATAACTTAATAATGACTAAACTTTTACGGTTAGATATGTGAAAAATCACACAATCCCGCATATAATACTGGAAACTATATAACCCAGTATATTATAATGGACAGAAGTGTAAAATAGTGCAAAATTGGTATCTAGAACAACTTACTGGAATTAAATAATTTAAAAGTTTGTTTCCTGTATATTTTGCTGGAAGTATAAATTGCGAAACTATAATTTCCAGTATTTTATACTGGATGTTCACAATCCAGATTTTTACCCTAAGTTTACTGATGCAACTCTTGTTGGAGTTCTTATTTTAGTTGCTTCCTGTAAATTATGCTGGAAAATCTAGTTATTAAGCTATATAGGCCAGTATATTATAATGGAGATGGGTAAGACAGTGTATAATTTGTATCTACTATAATTTGCTCGAATTAAATAATTTAAAAGTTTGTTTCCTGCATATTATTCTGGAGGTATATCACTTGAAAATATAATCTCTCGTATTTTCTACTGTATGTGTACAATGCAGATTTTTTTTAGCAGCAAATCAAGAAACAAAAAAAATAGACATTAATAATATTTTGAAAAACAAGAATACCGAACAAATTATTCGGGATTACAATCACTTTTTCACATGAGCCAATGCAACCTTATTGTATATAATCAATTAATTTTTTTCTGTATTTTCTTGCATAAGGATGAACTACAGCAAAATTTGTGCAATTTGTTCTGTTATGCCCATATTTTTGCAACGACCACATCTTGGTTCCTTCTTGAATTATGTGCCGGAAACATGTTGATTCTTCTATTTTCTTCCTAGCATTACTTTTGCATCTAGAGGCTTTATGATTTCTGATTTAATAGTGTCTGGTATAACCCATGTTGTTGAATCACCTACAGAATTTACTTGTCCTTCATATGTTTTCAACCAAAAGTCCCTTGAATAATAAGCCGAGCAAAAGGACGATTTCTTTTGATATATACTGTCAATTGCAGCAATTGCATGTTCACAGGGTATCTCATCTAGCTGAAATTCAGAACAATCACATGTTCTTTTGTCTAGATCAACAATAAATTCCAGACCCCCTTCTTTGACATTGAATTTGAGTCGATTAATGGGCAATACTCTAAATGTAAAAGCTGGTTTAATTTTTTCTTTCAATGTTGCTTCTGCCCAATTTGATATCTCACGGAATATTCCTTTTGCAGTTGTCCTTCTTTCATAGAACCAGCTTTGCCTTTTTTCTTGTATGAAATCCATCATTGTTAAAAGTGGCAATTCTCTTGCACGTCTCAAAACATTATTCATTGACTCAACAATATTTGTTGTTAACATATCATATCGTCGTCTTGGACAATGGGAACGAGCCCACTTTCCTGGTGGTTCCTCCATCAAATAATGGAATGTTTTCTTATCAATAGCAGCTATTTAGGACATGAAGTCATCAAATTCTGATTGAATGTATACTCTTGTAGCACTTTGAAAGAGGTTTCTTACAGTGTTTCTCACTCTTCTTTGCTTTAGATTCTTTTCTAAATGATATATGCAAATACCATGGTAGCACTCAAGGAAAACTTTTGAAATGGCCTTGTGTCGATCTAACAAAAACATTAAATTTTTACGAATCCCAATTGCTTTTCTTAATTCTCTGAAATACCATTCATATGATTCGTTATTCTCTGAATCCGCTACCCCAAATGCTATAGGGAAAATCTGGTTATTTGCATCTTTTGTAAAAGCCACTAACAGAATACCTTTATATTTATTTTTTAGAAATGTTCCATCAACAGAAGTAAGTGGTCTACAATACTTCCACCCAGAAATTGACTCCCCGTACATAAAAAACATGTAAACAAACCTGTTAGATTGAAAAGTAAATAACATTCAGTTATACCATATGACTGTCACGACACGGATTTCCTACCCTCGGGAGTCTTGATGGCGCCTACTAATGGGAGCTAGGCAAGCCAAACCTTAACTACTTACTACACCTTAATATTGCTTCTTTTTAACTAACAAAAGGCGATAAAATGATAAAAGCGGAATTTTAAATAAATAAGTGGAAATCAACAATTATATATTTTAAGGCTACGTCTATTACAAATTTTAAAACCTCAATACCCAAAACCTGGTGCCACAGTGTCACAGACTATCTAAGAGTTACTATATACAAGGTCTAAAGAAATACAATACACTGTTTCTGAACAAAAGAAAATGAAACAGGGAATAGAGATAGAGGGAGACGCCAGGGCCTGCGGACGCCTACAAGTCTACCTTGGGCCTCCGGGTAGACTGAGGGAAGCACTCCAACTACTGTCTAAAAGCTGCTCCTAGATCTTCACACAGTGTAGAGTGTATTATCAGCTCAACCGACCCCATGTGCTGGTAAGTGTCTAGCCTAACCTCGGCAAAGTAGTGACGAGGCTAGGACCAGACTACCAAATAAACCTGTGCAATTCAAATATATACATCGGAAAAGAAATACAGAAATAACCAGTCAATGTGGGGGGGGGGGGAACATGTTGTGGGGGAGATAACAGTTCTGAATAGAAAGGCATCAAGTAAGGAAAGAAACAACATAACTCGAATATCAACAAGAAGCAGAAATCAACAATTGCACGGCATTACCCTTCGTGTTTTTACTCTCATCCTCACCAAAGCAATTATATAATAAAAGTGTGCACGACATCACCCTTCGTGCTTTTACTCTCGTCCTCACCAAAACAATCATATAATAAAGACGTGCATGGCATCACCCTTCGTGCTTTTACTCTCTTTCCTCACCATATAGTCAATAAAATCGGCACGGAATGGTACATCGTGCGGCACGGCATCACCCTTCGCGCTTTACACTCTTTCCTCACAATAGCAAACAATGCACTACATCACCCTTCGTGCTTTAACACTCTTCCTCACCCAAACAAGAATCACAAACAAAGGGGCAAGGAAATAAACAAGATCATATAGGAATCCCGACAAGGGAACAACAATTATACAATTAAATCCCAGCAACGGAACAACAATTAAACAAGTAAATTCCAGCAATGGAACAACAATTAAACAATGAAATCCCGGCAAGGGAGATAACCAATAAAGTAACAATATCCCGGCAAGGGAATAATTTAATAACTCTTTCTCTTTCTTTCACTTTTGTTTCATAACTCACTTTACCACTTGAGCCAATGCTCCAAAGGGTTCAATCACCTTATATACTTTCATAATTCGTAATATAAATTGAGCCAATGCTCCTCGATATTCAACGGTCACAATTTCTTCCACAAACTTTTCACAATAATTAGAAATCATCACCAAGGCATGAAAGATACAACGAAATCAAGATATTCACAATATAAAAACTCACGGTCATGCTAGACACCAACGTATAGATACTCGTCACCATGCCTATACGTCGTACTCAACAAATACCACATAGCAAATAGGTCTCAACTCCTAATCCCTCAAGCTAAGGTTAGACCAAACACTTACCTCGATGTCACAAACACAATTCAAGCCTCAACTATCGCTTTACCTCTTGATTCCACCACCAACTCGCTCGTATCTAGCCACAAGTTACTTAATTATATGAATAAATGCTAAATGAATCAATTTAAATGCATGAAAATGAATTTTCCAAAGTCTTACCCAAAAAGTCAAAATCGCCCTCGGGCCTACGTGGTCAAAACCCGAGGTTCGAACCAAAACCAGATTACCCATTCCCCCACGAACTCAAGTATATAATTTATTTTGAAATCGGACCTCAAATTGAGGTCCAAATCTCTAATTTTTGAAAAACCTAGGTTCTACCCAAAACACCCAATTTCCCCCATGAAAATCATTGATTTGAAGTTGAAATCATGTTAAAATATATTAATGATTGAAGAAAACTAGTTAAAAATGACTTACAATCGATTTGGAGAAGAAAGGTTATTTGAAAAATCGCCTCTTATGTTTTTGGGGTCTTAAAAATTGAAAAATAACTGAAAATCCCTTCTAAATATACTAACCTCAGATGCCCTGTGCGGACCGCACAAAATCAACCGCGGCCGCACAGGCTTCCTGTGTTCTGCAGTGATAGGTCTTAGTATTTTGGCCATAACTTCCTCTACATATGTCCAAATGCCTAATATAATATGTTTCTGAAAACTAGACACGAAGGACTACAACTTTTATTTTTTGAATCATCTTAAAATTCCTTGTGGATCAAAAGATATAGGATTCCGAAGTCGGACCAATGAAGTGTTCTTTACCGCGGACCGCACCAAAACTAGTGCGGCCGCACAAGCCTCTCCGCGGAAACAGTCCATATCGTGCGGACCGCACTGCTCTGTTCAGAGGTCCTCCACCTCTCTGAGCCTGCAACAGCTCTGTTTTTAAGCCTAAAACACCCCGGAACCTACCCGAAACTCACCCGAGCCCTCAGAACTCCAAACCAAATGTACACAAAACCTCAAAAATATCTTACGGACTTATTCGTGTAATCAAATCCTCAAAATAATATCATGAACATCAAATTAAATCTCAAGATCATTGAAATTTTCTCAAAACTTCTTTAAACATCAATTTTGCAATTTAAGTCCGAATCACGTCAAATGACATCCGATTTTCACCAAATTCCACATAAAGGTCTTAAATCATATATAAGACCTGTATCGGGCACCGGAACCAAAATACGGGCCCGATACCATCATATTTTAAGCAAATTTCATTTCAAATTTTTTTAAACAATTTCATAAAATAATTTTCTTTAAAAATTCATTTCTCGGGCTTGGGACTTCGGAATCTGATTTTGGGCATACGCCCAAGTCCCATATTTTCCTACGGACCATCCGGGATCGTCAAATGATGGGTCCGGGTCCGTTTACCCAAAACGTTGACCGAAGTCAAATTAGCTCCTTTATAGTCAAAATTTATCATTTTTCACAGATTTTCATATTTAGGCATTTCGGCTACACGGCCAGACTACGCACGCAAATCGAGGTGATGCTAAATGAGGTTTTCAAGGCCTCAAAACACAGAATTTCAAAAGAAGGAAGTACTTGAGTCGGGAAAATGATAGGGATAAAGGCTCCGCATATCAGACTCGGACTCCTAGGTCGATGCCTTAGGAGGACCTCTCCACTGAACACGAACAGAAGGAAAGCTCTTCGACCTCAATTGATGAACCTGCCGGCCTAGAATAGCCACCGGCTCCTCCTCATAAGACAAGTCCCTATCAAACTGGACAGTTCTGAATCTAACACGCGGGATGGATTGTCGTGATATTTCCGGAGCATGGACACATGAAACACTGGATGCACAGCTGACAAGCTCGGCGGCAATGAAAGTCTATAAGCCACATCTCCCACTCGATCAAGAATCTCAAATAGACCAATGAACCTAGGGCTAAGCTTTCCCTTCTTCCTAAATCTCATCACGCCCTTCATAGGTGACACTCGAAGCAACACCCGCTCATCAACCATAAAAGCCACATCTCGAACCTTGCAGCTTGCATAACTCTTTTGCCTGGACTGAACTGTACGAAGCCTATCCTGAATAATCCTGACCTTGTCCAAGGCCTTCTGAAACAGATCTGTACCCAACAATCGTGCCTCCCCAGCTCAAACTATCCAACCAGAGATCGACATCGCCTACCATATAAAGCCTCATAAGGACCCATCTGAATACTCGACTGGTAGCTGTTGTTGTAGACAAACTCTGCTAAAGGCAAGAACTGATCCCACGAGCCTCCAAAGTCAATAACACAAGCTCGAAGCATATCCTCCAAAATCTGAATAGTCCGCTCGGACTGCCCGTCCGTTTAAGGATGAAATGTTGTACTCAACTCAATCTGAGTGCCCAACTCTTACTGAACTGCTCTACAGAAACGCGAGGTAAACTGCGTACCTCGGTCCGAAATGATAGACGCAGGCACACCATGAAAATGAACAATCTCCCGGATATAGATCTCAGCTAACCTCTCGGATGAATAGGAGACTGCCACAGGAATGAAATACGCTGACTTGGTCAGCCTATCAACAATGACCCATACTGCATCGAACTTCCTCCGAGTCTACGGGAGTCCAACAATGAAGTCCATAGTGATCCGCTCCCACTTCCACTCGGGAAGCTCAATCCTCTGAAATAAACCACCAGGCCTCTGATGCTCATACTTAACCTGCTGACAATTCAAACACCGAGCCACATATGCAACGATATCCTTCTTCATTCTCCGCCACCAATAATGCTGCCGCAAATCCTGATACATCTTAGCGGCGCCCGGATGAATAGAGTACCGGGAGCTATGGGCCTCCTCTAAGATCAACTTTTGAATCCCATCCACATTAGGCATACAAACTCGACCTTGCAATCTCAAAACTCCATCATCATCTAAGGTAACCTGCTTGGCACCTCCGCGCTGCACCGTGTCTCTAAGGACACACAAATAGGGATCATCATATTGCCGATCATGGATACGCTCCAATAAAAAAGAACGAGCGACCATGCAAGCTAATACACGACTAGGCTCAAAAATATCCAGCCTCACAAACCGATTGGCCAAAGCCTGAACATCCAAAGCAAACGGCCTCTCACCGACCGGAATATAAGCAAGGCTGCCCATACTAGCTGACTTCCTACTCAAAGCATCAGCCACCATATTGGCCTTCCCCGGGTGATATAAGATAGTGATATCATAATCCTTCAACAACTCCAACCACCTCCTCTGCCTCAAATTCAACTCTTTTTGCTTGAACAAATACTGAAGACTTTTATGATCCGTGAATACCACTCATGCCACGCCATACAGATAATGCCTCCAAATCTTCAATGTGTGAACAATGGCTGCCAACTCCAAATCATGAACCGGATAGTTCTTTTCAT